TTGGGATTGTTCTTCCTTCTTTAAATATGCCTGGATTGCTATATAGTTTCCTCTTAGAACTGCCTTCACTGCATCCCAGAGAAGTTGGGGCTTTGTGCTGTTGTTTTCATTTGTCTCCATATATTGCTTGATCTCTGTTTTAATTTGGTCATTGATCTATTGATTATTTAGGAGCATGTTGTTAAGCCTCCAGACATTTGTGAGCCTTTTGTTTTCTTTGTACAATTCTAGTTTTATACCTTGTGATCTGAGAAGTTGTTTGGTACAATTTCAATCTTTTTTAATTTACTGAGGCTCTTTTTGTGGCCTAGTATGTGGTCTATTCTGGAAAACGTTCCATGTGCACTTGAGAAGAATGTGTATCCTGCTGCTTTTGGGTGGAATGTTCTATAGATGTCTGTTAGGTCCATCTGTTCTAGTGTGTTGTTCAGCGCCTCTGTGTCCTTACTTATTTTCTGTCTGGTTGATCTGTCCTTTGGAGTGAGTGGTGTGTTGAAGTCTCCTACAATGAATGCATTCCATTCTATTTCCTCCTTTAATTCTGTTAGTATTTGTTTCACATATGTAGGTGCTCCTGTGTTGGATGAATATATTTATAATGGTTATATCCTCTTGTTGGACTGACCCCTTTATCATTATGTAATGTCCCTCTTTGTCTCTTGTTTCTTTCTTTGTTTTGAAGTCTATTTTGTCTGATACTAGTACTGCAACACCTGCTTTTTTCTCCCTATTTGTTTGCATGAAATATCTTTTTCCATTTCTTCACTTTTAGTTTGTGTATGTCTTTGGGTTTGAAGTGAGTCTCTTGTGGGCAGCATATAGATGGGTCTTGTTTTTTTATTCATTCTGTCACTCTGTGTCTTTTGATTGGTGCATTCAGCCCATTTACATTTAGGGTGATTATTGATAGATATGTAATTATTCACTGCAGGCTTTGGATTTGTGGTTACCAAAGGTTCAAGGGTAGCTTCTTTACTATCTAAACATCTAACTTTAACTCTCTTATTATGCTATTATAAACACAGTCTGATGATTCTTCATTTCTCTCTCTTCTTTTTCTTCCTCCTCCACTCTTTATATGTTAGGTATTTTATTCTGTACTCTTTGTGTTTCCCTTGACTGAATTTGTGGATAGCTGGTTTTATTTCTCATTTAGTTAGTGTTTGGTTAGTCTACTTTCTTTGCTGTGGTTTTTTTTTCTCTGGTGACAGCTATTTAGCCTTAGGCATACTTCCATCTAGAGCAGTCCCTTTAAAATGCATTGTAGAAATGGTACGTGGGAGGTAAATTTCCTCTACTTTTGCTTATCTGGGAATTGTTTAATCCCTTCCTTTAAATTTAAGTGATAATCTTGCTGGGTACAGTATTTTTGGTTCAAGGCCCTTCTGTTTCATTGCATTCAATATATCATGCCACTCCTTTCTGGCCCGTAAGGTTTCTGCTGAGAAGTCTGATGATAGCCTGATGGGTTTTCCGTTGTGTGTGAACTTTTTCCTCTCTCTGGCTGCTTTTAATACTCTGTCCTTGTCTTTGATCTTTGCCATTTTAATTATATGTCTTGGTGTTGTCCTCCTTGGGTCCCTTGTGTTGGGAGATCTGTGGACTACCATGGTCTTAGAGACCATTTCCTTCCCCAGATTGGGGAAGTTTTCAGCAATTATTTCTTTGAAGACACTTTCTATCCCTTTTTCTCCCTCTTCTTCTTCTGGTACCCTTATAATGTGAATAATGTTTTGTTTGGATTGGTCACACAGTTCTCTTAATATTCTTTCATTCCTAGAGATCCTTTTCTCTCTCTCTGTCTCAGCTTCTCTGTTCTCTGATTTCTATTCCATTAACAGTCTCTTCCACCTCATCCAGTCTGCTCTTAACTCTTCCATTGTTTGTTTCATTTCTGTTATCTCCCTCCTGAACTCATCCCTTGGGTCTTAAATATTTCTCTGTGGCTCCATCAGTATGCTTATGACTTTTATTTTGAATTCTTTTTCAGGAAGATTGGTGATTTCAGTCTCACCAAGCCCTCTCTCTGGTGTTTGAGAGGTTTTGCACTGAACAAGGTTCTTCTGCCTTTTCATGGAGATGGGAGTGGTCACTGGTGAGTGGGGTGTGTGTCAGCTGGGAGAACAAAGTCCTTTCCTACTTACTGGTTGCCTTGCCTGTCTCTGCTGTTTGTGCTGTTTAACTGCATATAGGGAGCAGCCTGCGGGTTAATCCCCTAAGCTGCCATGGGTGGGACAGCCCTCAGGATGGCCTAGGATGCTGGCAAGGATCGCAGGTGAGCAGGGTGTATTCTGCTGTGAGAATTATTTTAAGATTTTAAGATTTAAGAATTCGTGCCTTCCAGACTCTGCCGCCATCTCCTCTGTCTGTCCTGGTCAACCGTGCAAAGGGAGCAGCCTCTGGGTTAATCCCCTAAGCTGTCATGGGTGGGGTGGCCCTTGGGATGGCCTGGGGCACTGGTAGGGGTCACAGGCAAGCAGCACATGTTCTGCCATGAGAACAGGGCCCCTTCATGTCGCCCGGACTCTGCGCCATCTCCTCTGTCTGTGCTGGTCAACCGCATGTAGGGAGCAGCCTCTGGGTCTGGGCCGGTTAGCCGAGCACAGGGAGAAGCCACTTTGTTAAACTGTGTGGTTGCTGTAGGTGAGGCTGCCCCACGGCTGGTCTGCAGTAATGGCAGGTCAGCCAGTTTGCTTGCAGTGCTGGCAGTGGGGAAGGAACGGCAGGCTGCTTATTGCTGTGAGGGGCCTTGGAGCTGTGTTGCCAACCAAGGGATCAGGGCACCTGAAGTTCCTTAAAGTTCCCAGCCTGCTGGGCTGAATGTGCCAGGACGATTTTGTCCACCTGTTAAATCCTTGTTCCTTTAAGACTGTTAAAGCACCTGCTTTTCTTTTGTCCCAGGGCAGCTGGCTGTGGGAACCTGTTCGCAGTCTTAGTCTTGGATTTTCCTTTTCTGCTCCTCTAATATTCAGAGCACCATGCAATATGTGGCTGTGCTTCTGGGGAAGATCACTAGGGCTGGTTATTTAGCAGTCTTGCACTTCCACTCCCTCCCCACTCTGATTCTTTTCCTCCCACCAGTGAGCTGCGGTGGGGTGGGTCACGGCTTTGTATCTTACCCTGTTCCTTGAGATATTGGGTTCTCGCAGATGTAGCCTGGCTGGTGTACTGTATCTTTTGCTCACTATTTTAAGAGTATTTGTATTTGCTGTAATTTCAAAATATATATGGTTTTGGGAGGAGATTTCTGTCATCCTACTCATACCGCCCTCTTTTCCTCCTCTAGTTTTAAAATCTTACAATAATTGTCATAAAAATACTACTTGGATAATTGGTTCAATCTCTCCAATATCCAAGGTGCTACTAGACAAACCAATTCAATATAAAAGAAATATGTTGCACACCTAGCAAGTACCCAGCACCATCCTGATTCAGGTACTGGGGGTAGTGGAGATGCCTAAAAACAGGGTATCTTAAAGTGAACTGGAGAGCTTGCATTTAGGCAGCAGATTAAAAAGTGGGCTGCTAGTGGCTTCAAGGATAGGGACTGTGGCTGAAAAAAATGTCCTGAGGTTCCAAGGATGGCAAAAAATAACTGAAGGAAAAGAAACAGTCATGAAGATGAGCAAAAAGGAGGATGAAAAGAGTCATGTGCAAGGAGGATAGAAACCAGAAAGGAGGCCTCATAAAGGGAGGAGGAAACGTTGTGGAAATCCATGTGCAAATCTCTCATAAGCAAAGCAGAGGCTGCGGCTACCACTATTTTACTTTACTCTTTAGCTAGCACAGAGACAGAGTCACAAGGAAGGCTCTGGTTCAGGCATTACCTTCTCTCCTTGCATCCGCTATCACCTTTGCTGCCGACTTGCTCATCACGTGCACGATGTAGAGAGGGCAGTTGATGGCGCTGGCTATGGTGATGGCCCGCAGTGTGGCCTCTGCCTCCACTGCTTCGGGGCGGCACAGTTCATGGCCCTCAGGACCTGTTATGCCCAATGCCAACATCTTCTTTGCCCCCTAAAAAGACAGCAGAGGCATACATACATACATGCCAGGTTTATTACTGAGAAATACCAATAATTTATTGGAAATTAAATAGACTGCTTTGAGATCTGATAGAGGGGTGTGTGTATGTATGGGAATATGTGTGTGTATACTGTGTATTTGGTAATAATAATTTTTATACTCTGAAATTAGGTGTTAATTTTTCATATGCATGGTTCATGATTAAATTATTTTCATTGAAAAGCTGCAAAAGATATGAGGTGAATTCTAATTACATTCTTATGATTGGTTTAGAACAAAACATACTAACTCCCAGTATTAGATCATGTTCAAGTCACTCATATTATATCATGTATTTAGTTGTACTTTTTCCCAAATTATTGTCTTTATGCCTTCCCCTACCCACTGAGTGATACTGGACCAGTTATTTTCCCTCTCCAAAATGTTATTTCTTCTTTTCAGAAGAGGCAGAATGTCAAGACTTTGTGTGGTAAAATGACTGGCCCGGTGTCACACAGCTCAGAAGAGGAAGAGTCCAATTTAAGCCCCGTCTGAGTCTATAGCTCATACTCTTGCTTCTCATTCTCCCCCACTGCCTCCTGGCACTAAGCCTCACTCTTACTGACTTTAATGGGAACTGAGCCTAAGAAGAGAAAAAATCAGCTAATACAAAGGGTAAGAGACAGCTCTTTAAATCTTGCAGATGGTATACCCTTCAGGCATTAATAATGAAACTAATGTGAGGAATAAATATCATCTAGATTCCTCCAGAGTACATTTTAATACCAAGTTGCTGAAAAGGGTTGGGCTTTAAACAGCTACCTAATATGCTGCTTAAGTCATCAGACTACCCTAATATCCACTGATTGGCATTCTGAGCCAGTAGCCTGAGCTCCTAAAATGAAAAAAAAGTGCTGAGATACGCAAAGAAAAACATTTGTGCTTTTATCATAAAACGTATCTGATATCTAATAGCTGAATTGTAAAATGGAAATCTTCATTCAAATGAATATACTACCTGAATAAAAATTAGAACAGGGACTCAAGTAAACCGAGTCAAGTGTTTCCAAGCCACAGAATATTAGTTTCTGGATTTCTGCTTTTCCAGTGCATTAAATGAGTTTCCTCACCTTAAATTATGGCCATTTTCATTGCTGTAGAAGCTCTGGTATGCAAAATGCTTACCTCTGCAATTAGGTCTCCATTTTCTGCGTGGACCTGAGCAATTGCTCCAATTTCTTTGCACCAAGAGAAGGCTGCGTACAACTCCACATCTCTCACCATGTACAGATCTTTATAGGCCATAAACATCTTGAAAGAGTTCACACCTTTATCTTGGGCAAGGATTTTCATCTCTTCTTTGACCTAAACAGGAATTAACAACCACAACATATGTCACTCTTTAATTTAAATGATGATTTCAACATTCTCTTCAACATCAAAAATGTTGCTTTTAGAAGAGAATTAAGTAAAATAAGGACAACAGTTTAATTCCAGAAAAAATGCAATGAAGGTCTAGATCTTTCCCCCAGGTTGGACCCCTTTTCATCTGATGAATTGCTGCTATGATACTTTTAATTTATGAAAGTTCATGGTTTTCCCCAAACTACTTCATTTCTATACTTGGACATAAAATTGTCAGCATCTATCTCCTAATGTGAGAAAATTATTCTAGAAAATGGAAGCAAAGTTGTTTGGCAGCAAAAGAAGCAATCTTGTCTCCAGAAGGAATCGAAGCTAATGTGAGATAGTTTGAGTTCGAATCTGAAACCCACAGGATGAGTTCTTAGAGGAAGTAGATGTGCATTGGCCCACTGGAAGCTCTGAGGAGGTGAGAGATCCTGGACCAGGCAGAATTCTCAGGAGCCTTCTGGTTTGTAAGGAACATGCTAAGATCAAAACAAGCTTAGTAACTGTAGATTCAATTAAAGTCTCAATAATAAATAAAAACCGCAAAGGAACAATCAGGAGATTTGACCAAATAAAACTGTTTAAACTTCTCTATGTTAAAACACACATGCACACAGATATACTAGGCATGGGATTATTGCTCTTAGTTGATATTTTACTACCTTAATAAGAAAACTCTAACATCCCAGGTGAAAAATGTAACCAACAATTCAAACAGTAAATGCAAACGTCTAATAAACATGAAAAAGTTAACCTTTCTGATTAAAATGCAATTTTTTCCATTGAATCAGGAAAGTTTATCATTGACAATATTACATGTTAAGTTCCTCACTTCCATCACTATTTATTTCTTACTAATTGTCTTTACTTCTCTCTATGGTACTTTATCATTTGGCATATTTTATATCTGCTTGGTAATGGCCTGCCTTTCCCTCTAGAATTTCAGCCCCATGAGAGCAGGGGCTTTTTAGTTTGTCCACTGCCATATCCTAGAACACTGCCCGATGCATAGCGGCCAGTCAATAACCATGTGTTAAATGAATGAGTGAGTGAATGAATACATGTACAGTGTGTGGTGTGTATATATACATAACATGGAAAATATACCAAAACGTTGAGAATGGTCATCACTGAAGCAACAACCTGGGTTCCAAGATATGTTAAGTGACAACAGCAAGGGACAGAACATGATATAGTATGCCTCATTTTTAATTTTTTACTTTTCCATAGTTTCAATTTCTACCATGACTATACTATTTTTATAGTAAAAAATAATATATATATATGTGTCTTAAACATTGTTAGCATACTGTCTTGCCATGGGTTTCAGCCCCGGGCAAGTTCACTATGGATTCAGTGTGACCAAAGAAATGACAGGAGAAACATTTTGGGGTGAAAGGGTTATACTCAACTTTATTTCCAGGGTGGCAGGTCAGTCACTAAAATCCCAGCCATTCAGAGTGAGTCTGCATGCAGCAAGCTGGTCTCTGCCTCTGGGCCTCTCTACCTGCACAGCCGTCCTCTGGGCCTCTCTGCCCGCACAGCCATCCAAGTCTCTGTCATTGGCGCTGCCACCACTCCAGCCTCTGCTCTGCTCTCCTGCAGCCTTGCAGCTGTGCCACTATGTCGCCCAGAGCACTGGGCAGGGCTCTTTATACAGAATCAGTAACATCTTGCCCACACATGTGCAGTGAGCTAGCCAACCAGGAGCAGCTGAGAATTCTGGCCACAGGAACCTTCACTTTATCAACACTCCACCCCTCCAGGATTCTTGCCTCTCAATCTGTGTGCCCAAAGTCCTCTGCAATGGTCCCCTCTGCAAGGAAGCTGGAACATTGTAATCAATTCTATAATCTACGACAATATACAAATAGCAAAAATTACAATAAATTATAATAACCCTCAAGCCTGAGATCCATTGCCATCAAGTGGTCATCCTGGCTGTATTCAAACCAGTTCTACTCAAAGGAGTTAACCAAAACCAAAAGGACCGTGTGGGTCTTGCAATATCCACCTTCTCTAGCCTTTCCAGTAAAAAGTCTTGCAGATGCACAGGCTGATCTTGTTGCTTTATCTCTGCCTCTGCTTCATCCTCAGCAGCTGGAACCACTGCTCTGGTCTCAATCGCTGCCACAGCTCGTCATCCAATTTCCTTCTGTCTGCTTCTGCCTTTTCAAACCAACCCACATCTGGGTCCTTGTGACCTTCATGGAGCCCTTTAAATTCTTTCTTCGAGAAGCAGACCGTATTTCCTTTTGTGCGTGAGCCTGAGGATAGCAGCAGAGCATGGAGTCCTCCATGACCTGAGGAGGGGGCTGCACCTCTCCTGGAAGAACCCACGGTTGCTGAGTCCTTCTGGCTTTCCACCAGCCTTCAACCAGGTGGGGTCTCAACCGAGGACGGGCCAATGCCTCGGCACTGGCAGGGCCTCCATGCCTACCTGTTCGTCAAACCTCCGCTCCTCCATTTCTGGGGCTGACGGCTCCACTACATCCTTCACCAGCCCCACCACCCTTGGCAGCCTGCACGCCCACACTGCTGCTTCTCGGGCCTCTTCCTTCACCTGCCCCACGGCACCTGGCAGCCTGCACGCCCACACTGCTGCTTCTCGGGCCTCTTCCTTCACCTGCCCCACGGCACCTGGCAGCCTGCACGCCCACACTGCTGCTTCTTGGGCCTCTTCCTTCCCCTGCACCACCGCACCTGGCAGCCTGCACGCCCACACTGCTGCTTCTCAGGCCTCTTCCTTCACCTGCCCCACCGCACCTGGCAGCCTGCACACCCACACTGCTGCTTCTCAGGCCTCTTCCTTCACCTGCCCCACGGCATCTGGCAGCCTGCACGCCCGCACTGCTCCTTCTCGGGCCTCTTTCTTCCCCTGCCCCATGGCACCTGCCAGCCTGCACGCCCGCACTGCTGCTTCTCAGGCCTCTTCCTTCCCCTGCCCCATGGCACCTGTAGTCTGCATGCAGCAAGCCGGTCTCTGCCTCTGGGCCTCTGTCCTCGGCGCTGCCACCACTCCAGCCTCTGCTCTGCTCTCCTGCAGTGTTGCAGCTGTGCCACCATGTCTCCCAGAGCACTGGGCGGAGCCCTTTATATAGAGTCAATAGCAATGTATTGCCCACACATGTGCTTTGAGTCAGCCAACCACGACCAGGTGAGACTCCTGGCCACAGTAACCTTCACTTTATCCACACATACTTACATGGTGGGCTTCCAGAGGGGATTATGTTCAGATGAAATACCTATTTCTCTCTGAGCAGAAGAGCCTTTCTGAAGGCAGCCTCATTAATCACCCTCAGCTGTGGGTAAACTACTCTAGTGCACATTAGCTTAAGCCTTGCTCCTCCGAAAGTGTGGTACCTGAACCAGCAGTGTCCACACCACCTGGGAGCCTGCCTGAAATGCAAAACCTAATGCCCCGCCTTCCCCAGACCTACTGGTATGGGTTCACTGGTGTACCCCCAAAATTCATATGTTGCTATCCCAAAACCCCAGTACCTCAGAATGTGCCCTTATTTGAAAATAGAAGTATTGAAGACATGATAAGTTAAGATGAGGTCATTAGGGTAGGCCCTAAATATGATTAGTTACTTTATTAAAGGGGAAATTCCGACAGGAACGTGTGTGTAGGGAGAACACCATGCAAAGATGAAGGCAGGGATGGAATGGTGCCTCTACAAATGAGGGAACCAACAAACCAGCAGAAGTTCGGGGAGAGCCACATTCTCCCTCCTGGCCCCCAAAAAGAACCAACCCTGTCCACACCTTTATCTCAGACTTCTAGCCTCCAAATCTGTGAGAAAATAAATTTCTTTTGTTTAATTCACCTAGTCTGTGGTAGTTTGTTACAGCAGTCCTGGCCAACTAATACACTTATTGAACATAATCTGTATTTTAACAATATTTACCAGTTAACCATTTGCATATTAAAAGTGTGATAAACACTGGTAAGGGCAAACATCTTCACCTTTGCTCTATCTTATAAAATAAAGAGAGGGAGGAAAGAAAGAAAGAAGGAAGGAAGAAAGGGAAGGAGGGAAGGAAGAAGGCAGGTGAAAAAAAAGCAAAAAGGAGATCAGATGCATCCCTTAGAATGACATTTGTGGAGAAAAATTAACTTTGCTGTGTACTATAAACCTTCCTGATTTGTTTGCTCAATTATCTATTAAAGATTAATTACTTGTTTTATATTAACTTGGTCTAAAACCCAACTTTCAGGGGGAGCAGAGGATATCAGTTGCATGGTAATCTCAAATAAAGTCACCCTTTTGAACCCTTTCTGGTCAAAAGATTTCTCAATTCAGTTCAGTATAGAAAAACATGTTGACTTAAATCACTAGAATTTCTCCTAAAGTACACATACCCTTTTTTATGGGGGAAAATAAACACATTTTAACATCTCTCAAAACAGTCTTTATTTAAATCATGTTATCATTTCTACCATGGCCTAACTGTCAGCGATGAAGCTGGGTTTTAAGCTATATTGCGACCTGACCTGACCAGGTGTTGACATCAGCAGAGTTTCCAGATGACAATAAATGCAGCTGGGAAAAGGGCCCTGGAATCGTTCCTGACCGTCCCTTTCCTTGGATTCTCTCCAGATACTATGTATTTCTAATTGAAGTTAGAATCTGCAGAAAACTACTGCTTAAAAAAGTCTGTAGCTGTTGAAGTTGAAAAGTTCAGTACTTTTTAAAATTAAAGTACTTACATTCATGAATGAAATTTTAGGAAAGGTTATTGTGAATGATTATGTAAGATTTATCCTATCACCTCTATATGCTTTTAAAAAAGTTTTAGTTCTTTAACTGATAATGCTTCACAGGATTCAAAATTCACCATTCAAAAGAATATGCAAAAGACAGTATTTCTTCCAGTTCTGACTTCCAGTCATCCACGAAGCAACTAACCTCACCAGTGTCTTATGTTTTGATATTATCAGTTTCTTGAGCTTGTACAGAGCAAGGACTAGGGTACTTAATGGAAGAAACTGGACCCCTAGGGGGTTCACCTGATCACTCCACCATGTCACTCCCACATGAAGGCTGTAGTCACAGCAGACTTTGGGATCAGCCCAGCTTCGCCAGGTCTCGAAGGCCTCGATGAGGGAGCTGCCTTTGTGAGGAATGGCAAAATCAATGATTGTGGTGGTGCCTCCTGCCAGGGCAGCCTGAAATCACAAGAGGGTTTCAACAGGTTAGCCATCAATTTTCTAGTTAAGTCATTTATCTTTTTAAACAATATGCATTTGCAAGCATTTGAGCAAACTTGATGTGTCCAGGAAATTGCACAAAAATGTTGCCTATTTAAAAGACCCAGGGGGATATGAATAGACTTTCCATAAATTAAAGCTTGAAGTGTTAAAACTGCTGGAATGGCTTCTGTTAAAAGAATGACACATCTGACGAAAAGAAAATGGCTTTGATGCAAAGAAAACAGAGTGACAACTAAGAAAAACCCCAAGTGGAAAAATGGAGAAGATTCAAACATTTTCCTTCTCAAGAAAACTTTATTCATTCTTCTAAAATCCCATTCCATTAGACACAGTCTTGGCAAGTTCTATCTCCAAATACCCTGTGCTCCAGGCAGAACCCTGGGAGACTCACATGATTCCTGCCTCAGCTGCAATCCCCACAACCAACTGGTAACCCTGCCACCTCTCCCTCACTCCCAGCCATCCCCTTGAGTCCATCCTCACTGTTCTGGCCTTAGTTCAGGCTCCTCTTATCCCCCATCTTTCTGTCCCCAGTTTTGCTCCCATTCCCTCCAGTATAAACCCTCATTACAACCAGAGGCGTGTCCCAAAGCACACATGTGACATTTAAACCTGAATGCTTCTCACGGCCTCTGGAATAAGGTCTAATGTTCTTACATGGTCTACAAGACCCCACGTGACCTCTGCCTCAATGCTTACATTCTCCTTCGCCTATTATATTAGATTATGACTAACTTAAAAATCAAGTTGCTTAATCAAGTGTCTTTGACCAATTACTGAAGATGATATTATTTAAACTAAAATCAGGAGGTGACTAATGTACTTTTAACTATTGTTATCAAACAATGCAGGTGAAGGCAGCATTGGCTCAGAAGTGCTGACCAAGGAAGCTTCTGGGCACAAGGCTTGGCTTCAGTGCTCACCAGCCATGGGACCCTGAGCAGTTCACCGTTTCTTCCACCCTCCCTCCCTCCCCTCCTCTTTTTACTTGTCTCTCTCTCCCTCCCTCCCTCCATTCCTTTATAATTTAATAATTTCCAGTTTTCCTGAGAGCAGAAGAAAAGAATTGCTCCCCCCCAGCATCACTGACATACAACTGACATATCACATAATGTAAGTGTAAGGTGTACAGTATGTTGCTTTGCTACAATTACATAATGTGAATGATTACCACAGAGAGTTAGCTAACATCCTCCATTATCTCACATAATTACCATTTGTTTTCTGTGGTGAGAACATTCAAGATCTACTCTCTCAGCAATTTTCAAGTATAAAACACAGCATTAACTACAGTCATCATGCTGTACATTAGAACCCTGGAACTTAACTAATCTTCTAACTGGAAGTTTGTACCCTATGACCAACATCTCCCAATTTCCCCCACCTTCCTGCCCCTGGCAACCATGACTTAACCCTCTGTTTCTCTGAGTTTGGCTTTTTTAGATTCCACATTGTAAATGATATCATATGGTATTTGTCTTTCTCTGTCTGACTTATTTCACTTAGCATGAGGCCTGCGAGGTCCATCCGTGTTGTCGCAAATGGCAAGATTTTCTTCTTTTTTATGGCTGAATAATATTCCACTGTATATACCACATCTTGATCCAGCCACCTATAGATACTTGTTTCCATATCATGGCTATTGTGCACAATGTTGCAGTTGATATGGTGGTGCAGGTACCAGTAATTTCTTAACCTCTGTGTGTCTTTGATTCCTTATCTATAAAGTGAGGACAATAATTGTACCTAAACCATAGGGTTGTTAGGAGGATTAAATTGAGGTGATATGTCTAAAGTACTTGATACAGTGCTAGACTCATGGTAAGTGCTTTACCAGCTTCAGCCCATAATGTGCATGAACCTTTGCACCACTGCCTTAGAATTAGGCGTGTTTCACATTTTCATACATCTCTTCTTCTCACTATTGGAAATGTAGTTATGTGACAAGACAGAAAAGAGTGCCACCAGCCTCTCTCCCAGGTTCCTCCAACTGCACCCCTCCACCCTCCCCCAAAGCCCCCCAAACATGCTGAGAGTGGTTCCATGTCCCACCTGGCCCACTAGCTCTATTCTACCTCCTTTTTCTTGCTTACTTCAATAGATTGCTATTTTTCCTAAGTTCCCTGGCCCCACTCCAATTCTTTTTGCTCTCAAAAACCTCACTGTCTGTACAAGGTCCTATACTATGTTTCTACCTTTAAATAACATTGCCTTATTCATGGTAAGAAAAACATATTTATATTTTTTAAGAAATTCCAAATGGTGTAATGATAAAACTAGGAAAAATTCCCCAGGCTCTGTGTTTTTATTTGAATGCAGATTAATCTTCTCACCTTTTTCCTTCTTAAAGTGCCTTCCCAATATGATACAGACATCCCTTGAGAATGAAGGGCATTTTTCTAACAGAAAGTGCTTTTAATTAAAGTGTTAGAAGAAAGTACTTTTTTAGTCTCTACTGAAATACAAAATCAAGCTTAAATAACTATTGTTTCCACATTAAAAGTCTACCACATGTAGGATGTGGGGAGACTAGATACACTACTGGTGGAAATGTAAATAAGATGGTGCAGCACTTCGGAAAACAGTTTGGCAGTTTCTCAGAAAGTTAAACATAGGGTTACTATATATGCCCAGCAATTCTCCTCCTAGGTATATATTCAAGAAAAATGAAAACATGTCCATGCAAAAACCTGTACACAGCATATCCACAGTAGCCAAAAATAGAAACAACCTAAATGCTCATCAACTGGTGAATAGGTAAACAAAATGTGATATATTATTACCGATATTAAAAAGAGAGTATTACTGGGCCATAAAAAGAAGTACTGACACATGCTACAGTGTGGACAAACCTTGCAAACATTAAGTGGAAGGAGCCAGTCACAAAAGATCACGTGTTATATGATTCCATTTATAGGAAATGTGCAGAACATGCAAATCCATAGAGACAGTGAATAGAATAGTGCTTGTCTGGGGCCGGAGGGACTGGGGAGAGTCAGGGCGACAGCTAAAGGGCACAGAGTTTCTTTCTTGGGGTGATCAAAATGTTCTAAAATTGATCGTGGTGGTGGTTGCACAATTCTGTGAATATACTAAAAACCATTGAACTGTACACCTTAAATGGCTGAGTTGAATGTGTATGAATTTTATCTTAGTAACATGGTTACCCGAAAAAAAGTCTACCACATGCTCATTGCATGAAGTGAGGGGCATGGGGGAAGGGAGTACACAAATCATCCAAGATTCTGCCCTTAGGTATTGACAGTCTGGAGGGGAAGATGGAAATATGAATCAATAATCATAATAAAATATTCAGATTGTCACAACAGGTAGCAAGTATACTTCCATAATAAACAGTAATATAGAAATTGTTAAAGGGAGGTAAAAATTGCTAAGCTCCTGAGAATAGATCCAAGGAGAAGACTACTAGGTTTTCAGAGGAAGAAAAGATAGACTCGGAGATCAGAAAAGGCTTGGACTTACACTGGCATTAGGACCCCCACGTGACATTGCCGGTAGGATAATAATACCTAACTTGCAGTGAATGCTTATGAGGTGCCAGGAGCTATGCTGACGTTCCAGATGGTTTAACTGTTGTAATCATCTCACCAGCTCCATGGCAGGTAGTACCATCAACCCCTCCTGACAGCCAAGGAAACTGAGCACAGCTCCGGTCACATGCCCAAAGCCTCACAGCCACGAGTGACAAAGGCAGGGTTGGAACCAGGTCATCAGGCTCCAGAGCTGTGCTTTTAGGGACAGCCCACAGCACAGGAGCTCTGAGAAAGGGGCCCATGATGAAGAGCCATCTGGCAGCAGGTGGTGAAGAGTGGCAGAATTAAGATGACTCTGGACAGTGCAAGGCAGTGGTTCTCAGAGGAGGGAGGCTGGGGCAGTGGCTGCATGCAGGCGTGAAGGGAATCCAAGAGCCCATTTTGACTGGGATGACTGAGAGGGTGGCGGAGCTGGGGACCGAGGTGGGGAGGAGATCTGGCATTTAGAGCGAGCATGAGTTCCGAGCAGAATCCTGAGCATGAGGTGCTCTGTGTATCTGCAGATGGAAAGAAAGGTAGGTGCGATGCGTAAGAGCAATCAGGGGCAGGAGAAAGATGCGGCAGTGCCCTGGGCATGGATCCTGAGGGTCCAAAATGCCCAGGGAGAGAGAAGCGAGACATATGAGCCACAGCACATGCTCCAGAACATGCCAACATGCAGCATGAAAACAAAATGGTACTGAGCCAAGGCAAAATATTTACAGTGCCTGTTTCTGGGAGGCATGGTTACTGGTTGTTTTAACTTTCCTCTAGTTAAATTTCATTTTCAGTATTTGCTAAGTTTTAACTTCTTTTAAAAAAAAGATTTTACAGATATACACACTACATGTATATGCTGTATAAATCACATGAACTGTTGATGGCCTTAGTAGTAGACTGTAGATGTGACGGTCAAAGGGCCATTTTCTAAAACTACAGCTGATGGAAATTCCTGGGACTATAATTTGAAAGAAAGTTCCTAAGTAAGGATTTATTCACCTCCCTAATTCACCAGGAATATGAAAGGAGTCACCATTTATTTTTTATTTAGTTTTTTTACTTTTATTCATCATTTATTTTTTTACTTTTTTACTTTACTTTGTTCTGTTTCTGCTCTTCACTCTTCCTCCCTCTCCCCACCTTCAAAATGCAAAGGAATTTAGAGAAGCTGTACTGAATGGGGCAGAAAGCATGGACCAACAGGGGAAAGACAGCATCTGTCTTTGCTAAACCACCGAGTACCTGTCACTTGCTGCAGGATCCCTGCTGCTATTTTGGGTTTTGGCAAGTGGCCGCCAGGCTCTGCCTGCGCCCCAGCCTCCTTTGAACTTCTACCTTCTGCCTTTTCTCATTTCTCTGGCTACCTAGAGTCCCTTCACTGCCCAAAGTTATCTCAAATCCCTGAATATTATTTTAGGAACT